CAAACTGAAAGAGTGAAGCAGGGTGTGGGGGTTTCTGAGTGGACTCTTGATTGTTATGATGATTTAGGATAAAACACCTACTGTATCAAAATGAATACTCAGTGAACTTCTGATGGGAGGTGTTAAAATGATTGCAAAATCAATTTGTAATGATGCAACACTTAAAATGCTACCGTTATAAGGAGGAAGTTTATTAATATGCCTCATTGACGTTGCCATTTCAAATATCCTTAGGAGTCATGAGATCTTAAAAAAAAAAAAGGTAATATGGTATTATTCTATCTTGGATCCATGGCTAATGATAAATAAACTTGACAAGGTAGACTTCATGTTAAATGACAGTCCCAAAGTAGTTGCATATAAGGTGCTATATAATTAAAAATATTCTAACACAATTTGTTATGCACAGTACACAAGGTAATAAAATTAATGGATGCACTTCAGGTAATGATCTATGTCCTCTGGGTACAATATATTTATTCACTGAGTATATCGGGGTTGTTTAGAATATGAAATGTGAAAGGATTATAATTCATTAACCCTGAAATTTTAGCATATTAGCACTAAATGGGTTTTGTATTGCTCATTTTACATGGCTATCAAAATTTTGTATATGTAACTCCCAGAAAATAATAAGCGACAGGGAAATTGATGTTAACAATATGTATGAAAAGGTTTTAAACATTTGTAGACTGAAATGAAAAAACACCAATCATAGAATCGTAGGACTGGAAGGGACCTCGAGAGATCATCTAGTCCAGTCCCCTGCAGTCATGGCAGGACTAACCATTATCTAGACCATCTCTGACAGGTGATTGTCTAACCTGCTCTTAAAAAAATCTCCAATGATGGAGATTAAACAACCTCCTACACAATTTATTCCAGTGCTTAACCACCCTGACAGGAAGTTTTTCCTAATGTCCAACCTAAACCGCCCTGGCCAATTGGGGCCCCCCGGAAAAATGAGTGCTCCATCAGAAGTCCAGAACCCTAGCAGAAGCCATGGAGCGGGCAGGGGATGCCCCAGCACCGCGACCCTGGTCCCCGGCAGAAGGACTGGGCGGGTGGGGGAAGGGCAGGTGTAGGGCAGAGCCCCAGTGCCAGATTCCAGCTGCAGCCCTGGGACAGGAGGAGCTCTCACTTTGCCCTGGCCTCAGGGCTGGAGGAACTCTCACTCCCCACTGTGATCCCAGGGCTGTGGCGAGGGGACAGAGCTTCTCCAGTCTTGGGGCCGCAGTCGGGGGACAGAAAGGAGCAAATGGGGGGGCTGCAGTGGGGAGGAGGTGGAATGGGGTGGGACTGTGGGTGAAACTGGGGCCTTGGGTGGAACAGGAGTGGGGTCACAGGCGAAGGGGCAGAACACAGTGGAGCCAGGGGTGGGGCTGCAGATGGAAGGGGTGGAATGGGAGTAGGATCTTCTCTGGCCTAGGGCCCCAGAAGACCTTAATCCGCCTCTGCATTAAGTCACAGGAGAAGTCAAAGGATCTCTTTACTGGTCTGGGAACATGAATACATCAGACACAATGTTTGAACATAAGTTAATGGAACTTTACTAACTTGAGAATTTTCAGTGTATTTAAACAAGTTGAGAGGGATTGGGGACTCCAGGGGAGGAAAAGAGGTGGAAGGAGACCTTGGGAGGGATCTGCTGCAACCAGACACTAGCCTGGAATATACGACTCTCCAATCCTAGAAGAAAATATGACCAGGAAGAAAACTGTCAGTAAACCATAGATAGTCCAAGGCTGTAGCTCCCATGCAATCATAACTTTGGCCTGAAAGCCTACTTCAGTGTCAAATTCATAGCAGTTAGAAGACAAAGCTAGTAGTAAGTATTTTAAAATGACCACCTTACTTATCCCAAATGAAATCACAGGCAGTGTCCACCGGGCCCAGGGGTATTTAAGGATATAGAGTCAGGGACCTTGTACCTTCTTTTACGGTTCTCAGGCACTTTATGAATGTATTGCTACTCAGAATGTATGTCCAAATCTACAGGCAGGACAGAACCAATTGTTGAAACAAACCATTCAGTTTAGTTGAGAATAGCAAAACATGTGCCTGCTACTATACTATTAGTGCACTTGCTTCTGCTACTGATGAGTTTGTGTCCATATGTTGATCATTTAATAAAAATCTCCATTCCGACTCCATGTACAGAATCATGCTACCACCTTGCACTTAGTCATATGCTAATTAAACATTAACATATGCTAAATGCAGTTGCATACCCACTAGTGCCAAAAATGCCAGGTCAAAAACATTGATGCATCTTGTTCCAGAAATGTACTCAATGGATTTACCTCTCCTGCCTTCTCTCCCTCATGTGCCCCACAGGAAACATGTTCAGAGTTACTGTTTGGCATACCCCAAAGTGCAGCTTGCCATTCTCATGCTCCCTCAAACTCTTCTTCTCTCCCTGTCTGCTCCCTCTCCCAAACACCAGCCTTTCTCTTGTAACATATGTTTCTGAGTGGACTGTACCACACAGTGACTATAGTAGGAAGAGAGCCTGAGACATAAGCCCTTGTATCAGAGGCCTGGGCTAAAGTAGTCAAATTAAGTTGTGAGCAAGAGGCAAGCCCTGCTCACAGAATCTGGCAAGAACAGGGTTGATACTGCAGAAACACATTCCTAAGTAGTGCCAGGCACAAGAATATACATGCAAACACCTTATAGAAAGGTGGTACAGAACACCCCGGTACCAGAACATTCCCCAAAGTTAACAGGAACACACTTACCCATCTTAAGGATAAGGTCAGGATGACAGCATGATGGATAGATATGTTTTGATTGAACCTAGAGGTACAAGGCAATGGGTGGCACCCTAATACATCAGAGTGTGGCATCCTGATACGTCAGGGGAAATACATAACTTGTTTGTATTGGTGTATAAAGATGTATCTCAGAGGGAGTGTTTTTGGCCAGCTGAGGGGGCAATGGAAAGTCCCGCCATTCACTGAGCAGCGTCCATTGTCGTGGGCACACGTGCTAGTATAACTGTAGACATTGATCCAGGGAGCTAGGACTGCGCTTCATTGACAATAAACCTGGCTGGGTGCCTTTGTACCTTAACAGATCTTGTGAACATTGAGCAGTTTGCTTGAGGTGTGCCAGCTTGAGCTCTGCCTGCTGTCTGCACAGAGCTGGGACAGCACGCAGGGAGAACACACACACGCAGCCAAACATCTAACCACAGTGATCACTTTTGAATTGGAGTGCTGACCAAGCAATGTAGGGCTGCATGGCATCTTCTTACACCTATAACTCCTGGCTTGTTTTTCAAAATCATGCAACATTTGCTTGGGGGTAAGGGAAGAGGGAGCATACCAGCAGTAGAAAGAGGCATTTCCTGTGGCACTGCTGTGCTCCAGCTACTTTCAATTGGTGGACAGCCACTTTCCAAGTGGCATGCAATACAACAGCCCAGAGTTGGCTCCAGCATAGAGCATGCCTGAGAACCAGGCAGCTGCACACAGACACTGAGCAGCATGGCAGAGAATCCGGCCCAAAATATTGTTGAACAGAAAAGTTTAAGTCCTAAGAAATTTTAACAGGATTTGTAAAGTGTTTTTGTGTATTCCTAAGAATACACAGAAACCTTTTTAGAACAGAAGATCTCTGTAAATTATTATCAATTTGCATTGTAGTAGTGACTGGTGCCCCCAACCATGGATCGGGACCCCATTGTGCTAGGCACTGTACAAATGTATCTCAACAATTTAATATTCTATGAATGAATTTACATACTTGCCTTCAGATATCTGAATTATTTTGTAACCATAATGAGGGAATTTTTGCGTGGCGGAAAGGGTGGAATGCAGCATTATTATATCTTATATTTCTCTTCGAAATAAAAAGATTGACATACTCCAGATGTACCAAAGCCCACACAGGCTTGGAGAAACAAGCTATTGCTTTGAGAGAGATAGTTACATTGATGTTTAGGTTTGAGGCTTCTGTCTTATTGATGTATAGCCTTTGTGTTAGAAAAGATCAGGGGAAAAAAGTTATTTTATGATTTTGATGAGCTGAAGGCTTTTGTTTCTGCAGAGTTGCCCCATAGGAATAGTGATGAGGTTGTTATTAAAGATGTGCTCTCAAGCTCATTGGTACTACAATTTGATTAACTCTGAATTCATTATCTGTAGTATTTCTATATTTATAATTACAAATCATGCCAGCAAGAAGTAATATGACTGTTCACATTAGAGCTTTTCTCCATCTGATATCTGTATAGTATCTGATATTATAGCCTCCTGATATCTGTAGTAAATATGAGCTACTCAAATTAATGATATTACTCTGATTAGTTTTGAATTGATGCCTACAGTGCCAAATTTCAGAATAATTATAAATTGTGCTAGGGAAAACCCCTTCATTTTACTTTTGATTCCTATTTTGTTCAGTGTGAAATCCCAGGGCTGAGCTCTTTTACCTCATCACTGCTCCAAGTAATTTTATTGCAATTGCTAAACTAAGTGTTTTTGCTTAATATGCCTTGTTTCAATAATGATGAATGCTGAATTTATGTGTAGTATGTAATATAGATGCTAACCATGGAATTTTCAAATGCACAAAGTTACTTAGGAACCTAAATCCCATAAACTTTAAATTGGACCTTTGCTCCTAAACCATTTGTACACTTAGAAAAGCCATCCCTAGGTATTAAAATGTAATTTCAATCCAGACAAAGTTTTCCAAAATGTAAGTTTAAGGCATTTTATTATTTCTCATAGTAGCTTTAATTATTTCCGTGTGCTGTATCTCCTCTTTCTACTTTATTCCTAGTATGGAACTATAATCTATTATGATTCATTCCCATAGTAAAAGCAATGTCTTAACAGCAATTTACAATAGATTTTTAAATGCTCTCTCCCCTAATATATGACATCCATACATTTATATACAGAAACTGAGTTGTTAAATTCTTTTTCGGCTTCTTTTTTGTGACTTAAAGATAAATAAGTATTGAAGTTTTTTTCTTCCTTTCTTTCTAGAGGGTCTTAATGCTGACAACATCAAACAAGCCTCAGAGCAGTTGAACAGTCGCTGGATTGAGTTCTGTCAGTTGCTGAGTGAGAGACTGGCGTGGCTGGAGTACCAAAATAACATCATTGCCTTCTACTCCCAGCTGCAGCAACTGGAGCAGACAGCAATTACTGCTGAAAACTGGCTGAAAGCACAACCTACACCAGCAGCAGATCCTGCTACAGTAAAAATACAGTTAGAAAAGTGCAAGGTTAGAGGCTCTTTTCCAACCCTTTCATTATTATGCTCGATGTGTACTGCTACATTTTGACAGATGATGGCTGCCAGTTTTTCATTATGAGAGTGGAAAATAGTCTTTATATCTTTCAAAACTAGGTATTGTCAATACCTGGTCCATGAACGGTAGCAATGATGAGTGTAAAAGGGCAGGAGGACACAGTGTGTGGGTGTTAAAATTAAACATTTAGTTCTTTTCAGCAAATAACTAATGCTTGTTCTACTGTACTTTTAATTGATGTTGGATTGTTATAGCTATATGACCAGAACATTATGCAATGTCTTAAGACCACTGTAGGGAAGCACTTAATTTACACATTAATGTTTGGTCAATAAAAATAAGTGCCTGTTAAGACTTGAAAAGTCAGCTCCTCCTTGTTGTTTTTGCTGATTTCCTTGGGTAATTTAACGGTTGTGTTATACTTTGCTAGTTTGTCCTCTGATTGCAACCCTTCTGGGATTTGGACTTTTGATACAAGTTTAGCACACCTTAATTAGGTCCCGAAGCAGCAGACCACTTATACACGTTTAAGTGCTCTGCTGAATAAGGGCCTTATTTTGTAGAGCATTATGCATACTTATGGCAAATACTGATAGTAGCAATCTGAAGGTTGTATTTTCACATATGAGTTCATGACATAATTTTAAAGCGACATATTTAGTATTGATATGTGTATACAAGGAATTTCATAGAGCCGCCTTCTACTCCTGCTATATCTAGCAGGATTTCAATGTTGCTAACATATGGTTAGTTTATGTCCTGTGTGCCCTTGGGCCATCCTAGAGTTCCCAAGAGTAATTGAGCCAGACTCAAGAAGAGTTCCCAAGCAGTATTTCCAGTGAGTGTAGTGTATCACAGTGAAGCTTGTCCCTTTTTATGGTCCTGTACAACTCTGTAGGGGGGGATGCTAAAATCATGTCATGATCATTACCCTTGCCCTGCTGGTCTCTTTCTGGCAACTGGCACCAATAGGGGCCATAGAAGGGAGCACAAAGGATATGCTGATTTAGGATTTTGGACAGCTCTTGTGCATGGGCACAAGTGTGGAGAGCTCCTTACACAAAATCTGGATGCAGTCCTGAAATTTTCAACTTGAGTCTATCGCTACTTTCTAGGGAAGCTCAGCCAATACCAAGATATTTTCTCTACTCTTATACAGACACCTGCAGTAGTCACCTTTAAAAAGTGAATAATCATCAACAGTTACCATTTCATAACATGTCAAATTGCACAGTTATTTCTTATTCTCAGTATAAGAAAGTAGTTTCATATCTGATGCCACAAATGAGTAACTGTTGTTACATTTTACTTTTTATGGTGACCACTCTGCAGGAAGATTGAAGGACTTCACTGAGCATATTAGAATTTGACTGGACAAAACATTGGTGATTTACACAGTAAAGAACAATCCTAATCTGGCAGTAAGGTGAACTAAGTAAACTAGTACTTTAGTTCTTCTCCATCACCATTTTCTGTTTCAGGAATTAGGAATATCTGATGTTCTCTTGCCCTCTTTTATTCCATAAAAACAGTGGTGATCTGATGAAGAATTGCTTGTAGGATGATTTTATTCAGGAATGTTTGTCTTCACCATACAGGATGAAGTCTCCCGGTTGTCAGCCCTTCAGCCTAAAATTGTGCAGCTAAAGCTTCAAAGTAAAGCACTGAAAGAAAAAGAGCAAGGGCCAATGTTCCTTGATGCAGACCTTGTAGCTTTTACTAACCACTTCAAACAAGTTTTTGCTGATGTACAGGCCAGAGAGAAACAGCTACAGACCAGTAAGTGTTGTTCATGGCTAGAAATTACTGTACCCACGACATTTTTTTTGAAACAGAATTTATTTTAATTTGCTTCTTTCTACCCAATGTTGCTCTACAAAAGGGAAGTGAGTTGTGGTGGTCTATTTTCTGTAACTGTTTCAGAAATATCTATTAATCAGTTTAGTGCATGTTTAATAATGTGGACACATGAGAAATTAAAGGTTTACTTGCAATCACAGCTCACACTCAGAATTGCCCTATCAAACAGCATTCCCAGGATAGCACACATATGGCCAGTACTTCCCAGCAACACCAAACAGCCTTGATATAACTGTCCAGTTAAACCAGGTTTACTTCTGTTGGGTGCCACTGAAGAAATGCAAAGCAGATAGATTGTACCAGTGAATCTAGCCTACAGAATTATGTAGTGCAGGTGGCTAACCCTGGGAGAGACAAAACAACAGTAGTGGTTTCACTGCTATATTTGAATCCCATCATTTACCTGAGAGTATTTGAGATATTTTTATGTGAATTGTAAAGAAAGATTTTGAAATTAATCTTGAATATTGTGGAGATAAGTCATAGTATAGCTATCAAAGAGCACTGAAAAAATATGTAAGCCAAAATTTGGAGAGCCACCCATTCATTAAGTGTTTGGTTTTGCAACTTTTTTACTCATGTTGGAAATCACTTACTCAACACGTACTCCCAGTGATGTTAATGAGACTACTAGTGTGTGTAAGTGGTCACCAACATTTGCATAATCAAAGCCTTACATTTACTGTCCCAAGTTCTGGTTTAGCTTTTTCCATACTCAGATACTACTTGAAAATCTGGCTTATTTTCCCTTTGTTCATATTTTAATGGGGGCCTTATAGGAATCTGTTTTCTGGAAAGGCAATGCACATAAGGAAGCAAACATGCAGTTGCTTGCAGGGCTTAGTGAGGCTTCAGGCGGGATAGGAGCTGTGAGAGTGAAGAACTAGAGACAGTAGAGACGTACATCTGCATAAATATTGCTCAATTGATAAATCAACTGTGATGATACTTGGGTAATGAACAACAGAAAGGCATACAGAGAATGAACAAAAATATATATTTGTAGCCAAAACATCTTTTTAGACTGAGAGCACCCCTTTTACTCCTGTATGAAGACGATGCATTATTGATACTCTGAGATATAATAATAATAATAATACATTAGAAAATATGTTAAGTACATTGACAACAATAAGAGAAAAGAAAATACAAATGGGCCTAAGTCTCAACACTGAGACATTTTTTTTCATTTTATTACATTGGCCTGCCACTGTGGAGCTAAAACACTGAATAGCAGAGTTGTGAGAGCTGGGTTTGTGCTTAGGTTTCAAATTTGCTTTCCAAATGAACTCTTGGTAAGATAGAGTGGCCATCAAAAACATGCAACATCTTTACGAAAAAATATACTTCTATTTCTGTAAGTTTCCTTGTTCACAGTGAAAGAAGATATTTAGTATTTAATGCTTTTCCAGTGCAACCAAAATCTGAATTACATACCCCAAACCAAACCCCTTTATCCTAACCTACCTCATTGTACACTTTGGAAGAATTCAGATCTTGGTCCAAACTTCGCAGCTCAAGCAAATCTCTCCTGATTTTTGGAGGAGAGAGGAATGGGTTTTTATATCCTGCTCTGCTCCAAAAATCCATTTGATCCAACTCTTTCTATACTGATCATTTTATGTCCGTATGTATGTGCATTTTCCTGTATTTCCCTAAATAATTGTCTGAAACAGCATTGTGATTCTGCAGTGATGGTTCATTAGACACTAATTTATTAATTAGATTAGATTCAAGATGGGACTTGGTGATAACATGGTGTAGTAGATTAGGCAGGCAGCTAGGAGATGGCTCTGGTCTCAATTCTGTCACTGACTTGCTGTGTGGCCTTGAGCAAGTCACCTAAACTCTCCAGGATTCATTTTCACTCTCTCTAAAATGGGGATTAAAGTACTTATCTACCGATGTACCAACCACAATGGGGTGTTATGGAAAATAATTAGCTAATGGATGTAAAGTGTAAAGCTACAGATGCTAAGTTCTATATATGCCAAGTACTATTATTCATCACGTGCTCAGATGCATCAAATTTTCAAAACCCAGAAAGGTTTACACCGCAGACACCCCATTTAAAAATCTGTGTAAGGAAGCTTTATACTATTTAAATTCGAAAAGAAGTATATAATAAACACATTTGTTCACAAATGACTTTCCCAAGGACAAACAGTGGCAGAACTGGGAACAGAACCTAGGTAATCATGAATCTTAATTTATATAATCATACGCCTATATGATTGCTCATGTTTTTTTCCATTATTTACCACTTTTGAATTAAATCTTCTTTTTCAAAAGTAGGAAAATATTATGCCACTATTAAAAATTGACTTTACTCCTGATTAAAGATATCAAGTATTCCAGTAATAATCAGTAATGTGTGCATACACACAGAGAGAGTTCATACATTTTCTTTATTCTGTATAACAGAAAATGTCTGCATTTCATTGGAAGATTAGATATTTACACCTCTTGTATGCATAAATTCTTTCTGGTTAATTTCTTTTGTAGATTAAATTTTCTGAGTTGTGAATAGCCTTTGGCAGCCCTAGCAGCAGCAGTGCGTGTGTCCTCTCTTTATTTGATTAGTATCCCAAATGTGATAACAAGGCATTGTTTGATTCAACATTAGGTTTTGTTAAATTCCTTTGTCTCTTGGTGGCTGAGGACCACTATGTTTTGGAGAGAGCAGAAATCTTTATTTTCCAGGTGGTTATTTTTTGGGTGGGGGGTATCTCATTTTAGGAGACATTCTTCCCCATGTTCTGTTGGTTTTCTAAAACCCTATGAGCAATTTATTCCCTATGTATTGGGTTCAGTGAATTTGTTATCAGTAAGCTATATAAAGCAATATTTATTTCATGTTCAAACAACTGAATTTCTCTTTAGATTAGCTTTCCCCATCTATAATTTCTTTAAAATCTGTTCTGTTTGTGTAGCAAAGAAGTGTGTCCTTCTAGGATTTTTTTTTCATGAGAATATCTGGAAAGATTTCAGTGGATTTCAAATCTGTTCAATTTTTTAGGTTTTTTTTAATTATAATTCTTTACAATTAAATGTGTCGTCTTAGAATATTGGTATTTTAAAAAAGTAAAGAGCAGCCGTATGCAACGGTTTAGACCCAAGAGTTGAGAAGAATATCATTTCCACCTGACATTGCAGGGTCAGTTTGGATATGTGTAATGTAATTACCCATTGGGTACTTGGCCAAGATACTGGTTTATGTGGAGGGTAATTTGCAGCTAGTTTCATTATTATCTTGCTCAAGAATGAGAGGTTGGACAGTGAGATCTGCTTATCTTGAGATGTACAAGATTTGTTTAGTCAAGAGAGGAGGTGTCTTGGGAATAGTCCGACTATTTAATGCTTTTAGGGTGGTTGACAGGTTCCCTTAATTCAAGTTGGTTAACAGATTCTGACAGCAGGGGAGCTAAAGTTCTCCCTGGTATCTTTCATCAGCCGTGATTGGCATAGATCTGAATCACAGGTCCTAAGTGATTCTTTCCAGTGCTTCCTGAACGTCTTGCTCTGTGACTGCTGAATTTTTTGATGGGGCATTTTTCCCAACCTGGTCTCAGTATACTGCTGTCTAAACAGGGCATCGTAGCGACAGGTGGTTTTTGGTGAGAAATGTGTCAGTTGTTCCACACATTGAGGGGAACTTCTCTCTGGGGTGGCATAGGAGAAGGTGATCTGCATTGACAAAGTGATTCATGGCTCAGAAAAGTTCTTCATGATGGCATTTAGCATGTGGGATGGAAGCAGAGAAGAATTTCAGCTTGGAGGAGGCAATAGTAAGGTTACATTCCTGACATTCCTTTTTGTGGTCTCCTCTACTTCACAAATACAGTGCTCATTCATTGCTCCTTCCTACCTATGGTGATCCCACTTTGGAACGTGGGTTTGTAGAAATGTCCTTGTGAGGTTCCAACCATAATTCCATCAGGAATTTTCACGTCAAATCTATTCAATTTACAATTCAAAAAGATACTTTTTCTAAGTGACCGACCTGCAAACCCAGCCTGAAATTTGAAAGTTAAACTGGTTTGTTTCTGGGTTAGTTACACTTGTTAACCTGGGAAATGTTAAGAAAAAAATCCTTACCCTACACAGACCACTGTCTGTACCAAACTAGGATTAAAACATAGTCATCCAAGTGGGAAGAACATGATCTGTACCTGTAAACTCAGGGACCCAGCTAAATTCCATAGTATCCTCAAAGAATCCATACCAAACAGAAGAGCCTAGGAAAAATCTGATGAGACGCACCAAAGTAGCAACTGAGATTCTTGTAACCAGAGCTTATATAAAGTTCTGTTGCTGATTCATGGGACAGAACAGAATCTATTTGATTCCTCCATAGCTACATTGTATCCACAATGCTAATAGCAGTAACAAGCGGTAAAAATGCTTGTTTGAACAGAGATATGTCTGTACTCAGGGTACAGAATTATTGAGTACTAATGATAACACTTAGATCACACTTTTCAGCCATAGATCTAAAAAAGTGCCAGCTCTGCACTGATATTTTTTCAAAAGTAGAACCGCACTAAAAAAAAAAAATACACTCCTCCCCACACACATCTGATGGTTGATTTGGCAATGAGCCAAAAAAAAGGTTAAAACGAAAATCTGAAAGCGAGTCTCAAATCTGTTTTTTTTTCCCCATAAGCAAGTGGCTCATTCATACCATGGTATGGTACCTTTGTTAGATACATTGCAAATGAAGGGCCATATAGTTAATTTTGATGATGGATCTTTTTAGTAGCGTGCATGTTACCCTTTCTTCTTCCTATCCTTTTCAAAAGAAATTTTTTGGAATGTTTTCACTTCCTTAGTCATTTTGAGCTGATTTGCTTTCTTCCCTCTTCCCCCATCTCCCACCATATCCTTTTTCAAGATATTCCACCATTTTCCCTGGTAGC